TTTTTTTTGGATTTTTCAAAAAAAAACCCAAAAAAAACCTCGAGAAAACCAAAAAAACCAAAAAAGGCGGCCTCCCGGCTCCATGGTTTTGAGTTTTTGGATTTTTGGATTTTTAGATTTGTGTCAAAATTTGCAAAGTCTGCAAAAAAGAAGTGTTTTTTGCATACAATTCTGTGTTTATAAGCCTGTCCTATGCAAATAATTCATAGACATGTTTACCAAATTGCATTTTCCTGTGTTTTTGGGGTGTTTTTTTATGTGGTGATGTGGAAGTAGTGCTAAACACACGCGTTTTTCACTATTTACAGGTTTTCTCGCATAGGACTAGACGTGCAAAAACAGGACATCGCCTAGCATAGCCAGCATGTCATTTTAATCGGTATTTACGAGGGTTTTTATAGGGACAAAGCAAAACCTAGATCATGGGGGGGGGGGGGTGACCATATATATATATGCCCTTTTCATGGAGATCGGGGCTCCTAAACACGCCTGGCCACTGCTTTAAGGATGGGCGGTTTGATGCTGGTTTGATCTACGACGCGGACTTAGAGAACCTGCAACGCCGCTTCAGCTGCTCCTTCCAGCCAATATCCTAGCTTTAATGGTGCGAAGACTCCGAAGACTACGTGGGCAGCATCTGCTGCTACAGCTCTGTCTAGAGCAGCGCCTGTGGGGGGGGGGGGGGGGGTAGGGGTAGCACCAGGACCCAAACAGGAGCTGAAGCCAGCATCAACTCAAGCCCAACAACCAGAAGGGGGGGGGGGGTCGGGGGGGGGATGGGTAACTGGCCTACCCACCCGCCCATTCCCACGCCGAGCAGGCCGGAATCTCTATGCAGCGTCCAGGGCGTTGATGGCACCACGCGTGTTTCAGCACGAGGGACTGATCCACACAGGAGTATGGACACAACCACTGCTGGAAAGATTGATCCACGTGGTGGTGTTGATTGTGAAGAAGTGTTGTCCAAAGGGTAGGGAATATGACTAGGGGTTCTTCTACAGTAAGGGTCCCTTTTGCGGAGAACACTTGATATCCGGCTGGCCCTTCAAGACCCTCTGAAACATACAAATAAAGATCCTCCCCCAATGAGGGAAATTCTGCTAAACCCTAAACCCCAAACCCTAAACCCTAATTCGCAAGACGAGTGCCTTGAGCATCCGTCCAGGGTGCCCTAAGCTCTGAGGGTTCTGCACGCACTCTCAGCAGCAGGCTCAAGGGTTTGGGGTTTAGGGTTTAGGGTTGCGGGTTCAGGGTTTGGGGTTTCGGGTTCAGGGTTCAGGGTTCAGGCTTCAGGGTTCAGGCTTCAGGGTTCAGGGTTCAGGGTTCAGGGTTCAGGGTTCAGGGTGCAGGGTTTAGGGTTTAGGGTTTAGGGTTTAGGGTTTAGGGTTTAGGGTTTAGGGTTTAGGGTTTAGGGTTTAGGGTTTCGGGTTTCGGGTTTAGGGTTTAGGGTTTAGGGTTTAGGGGCCTCAACCCGAAACCCCCCCTGGATCCCTCAGCCCCGCACTTGAAGTCTTCGAAGGGCACCGTCTCGCCTGCGGCCTCCGTCTCCTTCACCCTGCTGGAAGGTTCATGGGTTTAGGGTTTAGGGTTTCGGGTTTGGGGTTTAAGGTTTAGGGTTTAGGGTTTAGGGTTTAGGGCAGTTAGCAAAAATTTTGTTCTGTTTTGGACTCTCACAGCTAGCGCACGCGCAGGCCAGGCTCCAGAAGTTTCAAGTGAGCGAAAAGCGACACATTGGCCATGAAGCATGCTCAAACTGTCCTCTCCAGCTCAACTAGCTAGCTAGCAGATTTACCAACAGTATACTACGATCACATCCACCCAAACAATCTGAGCAGCAGCAGCTGGGAATATTCCTCCAGGTGTCATCCCCTCACTATCACACACATCCCCCAAGCAGAATAAGAAAGTACCGAGAACACGATTTAGAGCTCACTCTCCATGAACCTTCAACTCCACAGCCCCCTCCCAAGTGGGAAAGCGCCTATGCTGGTTGATGCAAAAGCAGCACATCCAAGTGTACCTGGGTGGAAGCTGGCTAGGGCCCTAGAGCTACCTGGTCTTCGATTTGGGGTTCGGAGGGGTTTTTTTGGCGCCTGCATAGCGTTCCTTGGTTTAGGGTTCAGGGCTTAGTTACTAAGTTTTTAGAACAGCCCCCAACACCTCCAGCCAGTATGTGCCCAGGCACGTTCGCTTTGGATCCAGGTTGGCGTCCCGGCAGTACTGCGCCAAGGTGTCCGTAATGTCACCCATCCTGGGCGCAGAGGCGCACGCCAACCCAAAAAAAAGTCCAAACATCGGAAATTTAGGCCCTGAGCCAACAACCCATCATGGGGTTGCTAACTCTTTAGATGCTCAAGGACCTTTCCCGCCTTGGGGGCCCTACCTCTAACAATACCATTGCTGCGCTGGCGGCCTCGGGGCCCCCTCCCCGTCACGAAGGGTACAGACGGTGGGTGATCTGGAATAATGTACTAATATAAAGAAGAAAATACGAATCATAAAAATATCATAATTCTTCTCAAAAACCGATAGTAATACGAATAAGAACAACAACAATACGAGAACATGCAAGCATAGGCGAGGCGTGAGGCCTCGAGCAGCTAGGTAGCGGATTCGAACCTTGGTGTTACGTCGAAGCTGTCGGCAGACAGGGCGCTTGTAGCCCCAGGTGTAGCTAAGCATGAAGGACGCGCTCGCTGCCTCTCGCATTGTTTTTTGGGGAAGTTAAGGGCATCGAGTACCCCATAAAGCCTCTCTCTCTCTCTCTCTCTCGCTCTCTCTCTCTATCTCTCTATCTCTCTATCTCTCTATCTCTCTATCTCTCTATCTCTCTATCTCTCCATCTCTCCATCTCTCTATCTCTCTATCTCTCCATCTCTCTATCTCTCTATCTCTCTATCTCTCTATCTCTCTATCTCTCTATCTCTCTATCTCTCTGTCTCTCTATCTCTCTATCTCTCTATCTCTCTATCTCTCTGTCTCTCTATCTCTCTATCTCTCTATCTCTCTATCTCTCTATCTCTCTCTCTCTCTCTCTATCTCTCTCTCTCTCTCTCTCTCTATATATATATATATATATATATATACTCCCTCCTCCCTTCGCCCTATGCTCTCCATCTTGGTAGCGCCTACCCCACGCACCTCCTACTTGGAGGTTCATGGTACTTATTAACCCAATTGTAACTGTACTTTCAACCCAATTATACCCATTTTGGGGGGACTAAAGGGGCTCATAAGTGAAGTAAAAGGAGGAGTTATCAGGACCATGAACTAAAAAAACCTGACACAACCTCATTCACTTCCCGGCTTCGCGCAGTGCATCCTACCCAGGCCACTAATCAAACCCCCCCCCTGAGTTTAGTGTTTATAAAGCTTTTTCTTGCCACCCGTCTAGCCACTCTCCGTGGGGCAACTGTAGAGAGAATGCCTTTTACAGGGTTTATGGTTTAGGGTCCCCCACCCTAAACAGAAAATCCCGCGCCTTATCCCCCCCAAATCTCTCTACTCTTTCGGGGCACTCCCCTCTCCCGCTCCCCGAGGCATAATGCGCCCCAGAGCCCTGCGCTGCAGCGCGCCCGGATGTGCTATGACACCAAGCAGACTGCGCACCAAAGGCGACCCCGATTCGACCGAACTTATCCCCTCTCTCTCCCCCTCCCTCTCTCTCGCTCTCGCTCACTCTTCCTTCCTTCCTGCGCACGGACCCCAGAAAGGGCTGACGGATCAAAAAACAAATAAGGGTCAAAAAACTAAGTATAAGCCGAACGGATCAAAAAAACACAATAAGGATCAAAAAATCACCCATCGTGGTAGTGGTGGTAGTGGCAGGAAAACCTTCTATTTTCTCATACTCCCACAAGAAAACCTCTATGTTCATGTTTTCATAGGAAATCCTCTTTTATCTCTATGTTTTCATCGCAAAACCTCTATTTGTCTGGCATGATGGATTTCAAACGGATTCTTTGAAGCAAGCTTGCATGGCTAAAGAGAAGCCGGTTATGCCCCACGCTTCTTCCTCCTTTTCTGCTTCCTCCCACCATCTCACTGCTCCTCCTCCCATGCATCCCGAAGGTGGTGTTGCTGGCTCTGATGCGGCTTGTGTCTGCTCGAGGCTTGCCGGCGGTGTCCCATCCTCTGCTTCCGTTTCTGTCCCCCCGCTGGCGGTGTCTGCTGCGCTGTGTTGTTTGAGTTTGGGCTGGTTGGTAACGAGGGGGCTGGTGCTCGGTCAGTGACGCCACCTCGCCGTTGTCTGTTGCGGGATCTGCTAGAATCTGCTAGAATTTCCAGAGCTCTGAGGATGCGCGAGGTTGCTTCCTGGAGGTGTCTTGCACCTGCTGTCGGTCGCGTGGCATGCCTGGGCGTCGGTCGCGACGGTGCGCCTGTCTCGCGAGCATATGAATTACTGTGAGCTCGCGATCATATAATAAAGGTGTGAATGAAGTGAACGAAGTCAATTGCAAAGAAGTGAAACGAATGCGCGAATTGAATGAGAGAACGCAGTGAGCACAAAAAACCTTTTGAAGTAGTATCAAAAATGGGGCTTTATTAAATATTATGTGTCAGTAAGATTCCTCAAGGCAAAACTTAATGGGCTAGAAAACGAAATACCAGAAGACACGAAAATATTATTAAAAGAGCGCACGACTCTTCGTACACACACCGCCATTCACAGTACTTTCACGCGGTAACACCTGGACGAACTGAACGGGAAAGGGTGAACACGCAAGGCATGAATGGTACGTCCTAAAGGTGAATCATAAGGTGAATGGAATGATGAACGAAGTGAAGAGAGAAGTGAACGCACGGCAACGAAGTGAATGCAATGAACAAACCGCGCGTGCATTATTAATTAGTGCTATTCGCTCGCAGGCTAATATAATACGAAAACTACTAACAGTGCATATCATTTATGATAAAATACAAAAACCGCTTGAAACAAAAGATTATGTAATTAAATTTGTACCGCGAGTTTACATTATGTTCATTGATTTGCTCACGGGCTAGAATAACAAGGTGTGAATTACAACGAACTCCATGAATGAACCTGCAAATCGGGCTAGAAAATAATATAACTTGCGCAGAATGAACATGCGCCATAGCTCCTCAGCGCTGCGTTGTCGTTGGCGCTTTGGAAGTTTCTCTGATGGCTTGCCGAGAGGACCACCCGGGAGTTGCCTGCCCAGAGCGCCACGGGCAAGCGATCGAAGTCTGCCAAGCACAGAAGCTTGGGGCAACTTGTCGATCATGTCCTGCCAAGTGGCCTGGCGGCTTGCCCAAGAGTTTTGCCCCTGGCCAAGGCGATCATCGGGCGTGTCTGCATCCTGGGTCCGCTTCCGCTTTGCTGCGATGTTTGGCGAGCAATGCACCTCCAGGATGCTGACGCTGAAGCCAGCCTTTCGAGCCTCTTCCCACACGCTCTTTGTCAAGAGCTTTGTTCCGTCGGCAATGACCAGACGAACACTAGCTTGCCACAAGTTTTCGCAGCAGTGAAGCACATGCTGCAACTGCTCCCCAGTGAAGGCAGTCGCACCCATCCAGCATGTTCAAGTGCATCTGCGCCGCGTCTACATCCTTGAAGCGCCCGAAAACGACCACTCCGCCAGATGGAGTTTGGGCGTGGAGCCAGGCTGCTGCGCCAGTGCCCCGGCCTGCAGCACTGCCCGGCTTCCAGAAGGTGATTATTTCTCGCACGAAGGTCGTGACGATAGCGGGTTTTTAGGATATCAATGTGCGCCATGCAGCTCAGACCGCGGCGGCTTTCGTTTTCGTTCCAGATCAGCCAGCGGATCACGTAGCAAAACCAGAAAAGCTGGCGTTGCGGTGGTTCGGGCGCTGGCTCATTGTAAATGGGAGATGGGGGGTTGCGGTCCTCCCCCTTCATGCTCGTGATACCAGCTGACTGGGGAAGGGCTGGAAAGGGCTTGAGCAAAATGGCTGTCTCCCTCTCCCTCTCTCTCTCTCTCTTTCTCGCTCTCTCTGTCTTTCTCGCTCTCTCTGTCTTTCTCGCTCTCTCTGTCTCTCGCTATCTCTCGCTCTCGCCAAACCTCGGTGCAAGACTCTTTTGCAGCCTCTTGACACCCTGTTTTTGAGGAGGACCGCCAAGCTGCAGCCACAGGACTGATGCGAATGTCTCTCGTTTATAACCCAAACCATGAACAAAAAACCTCCTACTGTACGTACTGAAGTGGCCTCAAGCCGTGCCGAAACCCTAAACCCTAAACCCTAAACCCTAAACCCTAAACCCTGACCCCTAAACCCTAAACCCTAAACCCTAGCCCTAAACCCTAAACCCTAAACCCCTAAGCCCCAAACGGCGCAGGGGTGGTCGGGTCTCCTGGTCCGCGCCCGCGAGGCAGTCCACGTAGGCGGCTCCTGGCCTGCGCTTGTACCCGGTTTTTCGGGTCGTACTTGGGGTGTAGGGGTTTAGGGTTTAGGGTTTAGGGTTTAGGGTTTAGGGTTTAGGGTTTAGGGCTTAGGGTTTAGGGTTTAGGGTTTAGGGTTTAGGGTTTAGGGTCTAGGGTCTAGGGTTTAAGGCTTAGGGTTTCTTGGAGGTTCATGGTACTAACCTAAATAACCCGATAATATGGGGGCCCGTTCTAATTGGGCTAGCGGCTAGAAGTATCCAAGTGTAAGCGGGGGTTCAGGGTTTGTTTCTTGCCACAAGCTCCACGGACAGCAGCAGGAGGATTCATGGTTTAAGGTTTAGGGCTCAAGGTTTGGGATTGCTGCTGTGGGGTTAGGGTTTAGGGCTTACAGTAGGGTTCAAGGTTTCAGGGCTTAGGGTGTCTCGGCAGTCATTCCCATGGGGCGGCCTCCAGGGGCCTCTGCACGTTTAGGCATTGCATGGGGCTCATCTCCTCGAACCCCAGTTCTCTCAATATACTTCGTTGAGGGGTTCGTCTTCTACTCTTTTCTGAACCCGGACTTGCATTCTACACCCTAAACCCTCAGGCAGCCTCAGAAACAGAGTAGGTCGCCAAGAAGAGGACCAGAACTCAGAACAACCCCCATACAAGCAACCTCACTCAACTGGACTGAGTTGCAGAGTCCCAAATCTCTGGTTCTGAGGCTGCCTAACGTGCAAAAACACACCTTTTCTCTGCCAAGGCCGCTGCCAAGGTGCTACTGGACAGCTGCACGGAGAGCCCTCAGACACACCTTCATGACACCCTACAGCGCCTACGCCGGACCTCCAAGTAGTTGCGCAGCATCCCCCAAGGAAAGACCCGTCGCAGGGCACGGAGAAATCCGCATCTCAGATCATCCCATCAGGATGCGGCACAATGCTCGGTGAGCAAGTCGTCTGTTGTGCAGGGGGCCGCTGCGCGACTCCTCCTCGGCATGAGGGCGGGTGCTTGTGGGAGGTGTGACCAAGATGTTAGTTTGCAGTTGCTGGAATATGATGCAGATAGGGCTGTTGCTACCGAATGTTGCTTTAGGCGTGTGGGCCCAGGACTTCACGATGCGGCGCCATGTGTGTGTGTGTGTATGTATGTATGTATATATATATATATATATACTTGCGTGGTTTCCATCCTTGATCATCTGGCCGATAGCCTGTCTGATCTGGGAACGTCGATGCCATATACATATATATATATAGCATGTTGATGTCATGATATGATTATACCAGAAATTGTATGAATAATTGAGTATTAACATAGTACTATATTACTATATAATCTAAATTACCAGGCCTCAGCCTCCCACGCGTTCTGGGAGTGCGGTCGCCACGGTCGTTTCGGTGCGCAGCTCAGGTCCCCAGTGGCCCTCGGTTTTGGGTTGAGGCTTTAGGGCTTAGGATGTAAGGTTTAGGGTTTAGGGTTAGGGTTAGGGTTAGGGCTTGTCCCGCGCCTGCACAAGAACATCTCACGAAGATACGGGAGAGACAGAAAGCGAGAGAGAGAGAGAGACGGGGAGGCAACATTTGGCTCAACCCCACATGGGCCATGGGGGGCGGGGGGGGGGGGGTTAACTAAAGCTTGGTCGTGTTTTCTTTGCTTTTCTGTTTTACGGAATTAGGCGACCCTCTGAGGCACAGAACTAATTGATGCCCTTTTTCGAGTTCGACTGACACCGATCTTCTCCTGTAGACTCTCCTACGAGTCTTTGTCGGGATCGTAGGGGTGTCTAGTTCGTGACATCCCGACCGAAGTTGGCAGGACCTAGACTTGAAGACTTCTTTTCTACGTAGGGCTTAGGAATGTTTAGGATAAAGGGCTTTGGGTAGAAAGGGATAAGAGAACCTTAAAACTTTTTGTTCTGCCACACTACTGAAGCCAACCGAGTAGCAACCGAAAAACCACCTAGAACAATCCAATAAGCGGACTTCCGAAGGCCATTCTCGAAGGCCCAGACAGTCTGCAAGGCCCTGACGTTCGGAGTGGAGCTACCAAAACTCCCCGAAACCCTGAAACCTTGAAGCCTCTCTCTTTCCCCCCTCTGGTCCCGCTCCACGAACCCTCAGTTGGGGGTTTACGAAAATAGGGGACCCCTAAAATAGACCCACAAATCATAGGATTCCCTTACAATAAGATACCCCCAATGTCAGGAACCACCAGTTCTGTTTTGCGGTGCAAAAGGGGTTTAGCGTTTGGGGCCGGTGCCCGCGCCGGTTGGGAACGCTCAGGTTTTGTTTCTGGTTCTGGTGGGGTTGGGGCGTTACCCAAACCTTTTGACCCCCAAGCCTTGGCCCCTGAAGCCTCAACCCCGACGCCTTGAAACCCTATTCAGCCCTTTCACCCCTTTTATTTTTGGAACCCGTGCTGAGGCCGAGGCGTGTGATGGGGAAAGTGTCTGCACCCCTAAAGCCTCCAAACCTTTTCCGCTCAAACCCTGTCACCCCGAAAGCGGCCCAGTCTCATCGTTTCGTCAGCTCACACGCAAGTTCTCGGTCAGGAGGGGGAGTATCTCGCCTCAGCAACTGAAGCTTTTATCATGGTGCAAAGATGGTTTGCATCTTGTTTTGTGAGCGTTGTTTGGCTTTTAACGTAGGCAAAGGTTTAGGCGTAAAGCTTCATCTATTTTTTATGTGGCCTAGCCCAAATAAGGAAAATACAAAATGTCCCAAAATCCAACCTAGAATTCTCTGAGCTTTGTTCTAAAAGGCTCCTTGTTTTTTGCTGCGTGGCCCTCCATGCCCAGACTGAGCCTGGTCTGCCTTAGGGTTTAGGGTTTAAGGTCATGCCCACGCCAGACAAAACCAGATTTACTTTTTTGTAGACACGCTGCCCTCCCAACAAACCACCAAACTTTAAATCGACACCAGAAGCTTTTTCGATCTTTTCAGAAAGTAACTCATAGGGAATAGGGGGATGTTTCATAGAGTATTAGGCCGAAGGGGGTGCAACAAACAAGGCGTGCCACGTAACTACCAAGGTAACATGCTCAAGTGGACTACCATGGAAAATTTCCCAGAGGTCCGTACAACCATTTCTCTGCATCAAGGAGGCGTTCCCTCTGCGGCGGCGACATGTCAAAGACCGTAAACCGGAAACCCCACACCTTAGAACCCGCACTCAAGGCACCTCAAGACTGGAACGAGCTGCGGGCGCTGCCTCGAAATTTTTTCAAGATCGCAACAAAAAATAGTTTTTGGATACTCCCCGCCCCCCCCCAAACAGCTCAAACTCCGACCCTGCTTGACAGGGAAAGACCTCCCTGAGCCTCGTGGAGTCATGTCTGTTCTCAAAATTCACACAATCACTCCTGGGGGGTTGATATTCTCTTAGGGTAGTTACATGGTCCTTCCATCTGGGGACCATGGAAAAACAGGGGGACCCCCGTACATACCCCTTACCGGGACTCCGGTGGCTCTTCGGGGCATCCTCTGGGAATTGGAGGGTTTTAGTGTGTTGGGTTTAGCTTTAAAAAGGACCCGAAGAGGGAGGGACCCTAAGGCCTAAACCCCCAAACTCCTCAAGCCTACAGGAAAGCCCTTTTGAACCCAACCCTCAACTCTGAATCCCTTCTGTCTCTCTCCCTCTCTCTCGCGACGTCC